CGCCTCCGCCCGCCGGCCGCCCACCTTGCCTCCTGCCCCGGCAAAAAAAACCCCAGCGTGGATACCTGAACTAAACCTCCATTTTGGCTCCCTCACTTGGAAATGCTGGGAAAAGGGGAAGGCCTAGATAACTGAAGAGTCTCTGCGTGATGCAAGTGAATGAAATCCGGCTGATCTCGGTTTTGTTTTAAACGGCGCCGGACATAGCGAAGTATCTGCGCTGCAGGGTGCGGGTCGGCTCCTCCACTGCGTGTCTGGAGACGGCTCGGAACTGAGGGGCCATTAGCAAAAATGGCGCCCGGCGTGACTTCAGCCGTTTCCGTATAATGATAAGCGAGATCCACCCACGCCCGGACTAGACGTGGCGTCTGTTTTGACGCCGCTACGTTCGTAGCAGTAAGCAATGAGGGGCAGGGCACGCCGGGAGCGGCGCTGTGATTGGTGCGCGGCGGGGATTCAAACCGGGGGGCGGGACGCCGCGCGGGTGCTCGGACGGACGTTGCGGATGCAGCCGTGAGGAGCTGGGGTCGTGCCCGTCCGTGGTGCGGCCTGCGGGAGCATGGAGACTGCCGTGATGAACCTGCGCAATCTGCTGGAGCAGCTCCTGCGCCAGGCCGACCTTCTCAGCGAGGGCAACGAGCTGCGTAAGTCCTGGCGGGGGTGGGGTCGTGGTGGAGGTGATCTCTGTCGTGGGACCCACGAGACTTGCACACACAGAAAGGAAATAAAAATTAAAAAATAAATCAATATGTAAATGTATGTAGAAGTCTCCTGGCTTGGCCAGGAGGTGGAAACGTGTGAAGGCCCGGGCGGGGGTGGCGGACGTCTGCTGTAGTCCGGGCCTGGATGGTTGTGGACTGACCTGTGGGTTTTTTCCCAAAAATGTGGAATTAGGAAGTTGTCTAGTGCCTTAAAGAAAGCGTGATCCAATTTAGCACGTTTATTTGACTTTTATTTAGTAAACAAAACTAAAAAAAGTACCCCCGCATCTTAATTTTATGTTCCAATAGCCACGAGTATTTGAACAGAAATATTTTCTTAGGGGGGAAAAAAATAAATACAGCAGGCTTCATGTGGCTTAAATGTTATTGAAAGCTTTAGGTGGGAAGAAGTTGTTTTTATTGGGATACTTGTAAAAATGCCAAGACAATAAATAGCAGGTACTTCCCTGACCTGGTTTGTTTAAATCTAAGAAAAACAATTAATGAAAGGAAGGCACTGAGAACACTTGACGCTGATTTTAACACACCCAAGAAAGTCTGCGTGATGTGTCGTACTTTGGTTTTGATTTGACCTGCACAGCCAATTAGATTTATTCATAATTGGAATTTGGTTTGGGTTATTATGTGAGGGTGTTTACAAATCAATAAAACATGTACATACTTTCTCTCACACTTCCTAGGGAGAGTCCCCTGAAAAATCTTAATTGCAACTTTGAAACTGCCCAGCTTGCCTAACATGGCATTGGCATCCATTCATTGTTACTAATGAATTTGATGCAACCATGAATTTTTAGAAATGGAAAATTTGGCTGATTTGGCTTGGACCAGTAAAATTTTCCTTAAAGTGCCTAGTGCAGGCAGCTCATTTCTGTTTGGCACCCTGGATTTGGGATCAGTTTTGCTCCATGGGAGCCTGAAGAGACAAGTTGAGGTCTTGAAAAGGATGCATCATGACTATTTTTAAAACTTGGTGTTTACAGAGTTTGTAAGTAAAAGGTGATATGGGTTTTTTGTGGGCTGCATCTTGGTCACCCCAGCTTTTAACTGTTGACTTTGAGAAGTAATGCTTGCCACTTGTTTTTGCAGATCCCGAGGGTGCTGGGGAGAGTCAGTACTTTGACACTGGGGGCTAAGGGTTGTGGCGGGGGAAAGCTTTGGCTAAGAAACAGATTTGTGAAATTTGCTCTGGTTGTAACTTTGCAGGATGACATGGGCTTATTCCCTTTAGGGAGGTGTTAAACAGCTAAAGCAAATTGGCTTTTTACTTTTGAATCAATAGTTGTATACTTATACAGCTGAATGGAGTTGTAAGGCCAGGCATCCATAACACTACATCTGCAGGAGCATATTGCAGCACTTCTGAATTTATTGTGGAATGTCTTTCTGGTGCATTAATCTGCAACCTTAACTTTTTATCTTTTTCATGTTGGTTTCATAGCAGTGGGTTTGTGCTGATATACGTTAACTTGTTAGAAAGGCCAGCTTTTTTATTTGGAGTTGCCTTAACGTGGCTAGAAAACTTGCCTCATGCCCTGGATCTGACCTGTGGGTCTCCTTGTGGGCTGGGTCCAGCCCAGGGCTTGAGGCAGCTTGGGCATGAGGCATGTGATAGTAAAGTCTGTTTGAAAAATGATATAACTGCTTGAGTGAATAGTTGGAATCAAAGCCTCTCTGCAGACTCTTGTCCTCCTCTCCTGGGTTTGCCAGAATGTTGGTTTGTTACCTTTACTTAAAGAAAGCAGGAAGAAGCCTTTTCATTAATGAATAAAGGGATGCTTTATTTTCTTTTCTTGCATTGTTCACTAGTGTTTGTTAGCCATGTTAGTTTGGTGGATGCTAGGATAGAGTCAGCATGAGCTTTCATAGGCAACAGTCTACTTTCTCAGATGCTGTGACTGGAATGGCAGAGAGAAGAATGTATTAAGAAAGAGACACGGGAGGGCAATGTTGGGAGGAGAGGTAAGAAGTGGGTTGATTAAATCAGTTGACATGAGCAATGTAGATAACACCTGGAGGGGTGCCAGAGTTAACAGCCAGCCTAGGTAAGGAGATGATAATCCACAATTGAACCATTCCCAGCTGTCACTGATTGGGAGCTGGTTCACAATTGGTACAGGTCAGAGGTCCACAGACACAGTGCCTTGGCCCTGGAGGTAGAACGGTTACCTTTTTAGGCATTGAAGTGCTGTGGGTCTGACATCAGGTGGTAGGAGTGACCACCCAGCCCAGAATGCCCTGTTGCAGGTTGGGTGGGTGTGCTCACATGTGTGCTTGTATCTACGCTTTGGGAGTCCCAGGGAATGTGGTTGGGGGTGTTTTCACTTTTCTACTTTCCCTTTTACCCAAAACATGAATTCAGTGAAATTTTAGTAGCCTGTACTTGACTGAAACCTGCAGTGTGCTGGGGGGAATACCTGGACTAGGGGTGCACCGATAAAGATTTTCTTGGCTGATACTGATAGCTGATGATTAACCAACCGTACCAGCTGATGTCAATCCGATAACTAATATTTAGTAATAGTGCAAGGCATTTTAAACTACTGACATAAACCTTGTATTTGTCTGCTATGCATTTATCTCACACATGCACATATCCTGCTTGCTCTGGCCCTTGTTGAGGAAAGCAGTGACCACCCTATTCCCATGCATGTTGCTCCCTTGCCCATGGCTCCTACCCACAGCCCTGCTCCCTGTGGTGTCCTGCAGGAGTGGGGTGGACTCTTGCGCAGACAGTGGCACTGGTTGTATTTGGAGCCCCAGAACATGTTACTGCCTCACCACTGGTGGGTCCCACACAGCTGAGCTCCCATGGTTGCTGGGGAGAAGCTGCTTTTGCAAAGGTGCCTGGTGCCCAGCAGAAGGGAAAGCCCTTTACCCCTACCTGCATCCAACCCAACATCTCCCTGGTGCTCAGGCTCCTGCTGTCCACCTGGCATTTCTGTGGCAGCAGCAGGAGCTGGTAATAGTCCCTTTGTTGCTGAGTGTGCCTGTGATTGCTCCCTGGTGCCCTCTCCCCTTTCCACTGCTTGCTGGGGTGGGCTCAGGCTGGCAGCAGGGTGCGAGGACTGGACTATGCTCGCAGGGGTACTTTGGGCACATGGCCGCAATTATTGGCTGCAACCAAAAAAAGCCAATAGCTGATAAGGTCGTATCTCTCTTTATTGGTGCTGATCTGATAGCCAACTGATATCGGTGCATCCCTAACCTGAACCCATATTTTTGTGTTCCCAGGGCTTGCGGGGGCATGATGAAAAGCTGCAATTGAGTAGGGAGTGAGGACAGGTGGCAGTTAGAGGTTTTACTGAACAAGAATACAAGGGACATTGATTAAAAATATGCCAACAAAAGGAAAATGGGGGGCCATAGAGGTAAGACTATCAAAGCAGCCACTTGCAGCAATGGGAGGTGCACAGGTGAGAAGCAGTACAGTGCGGGATGCCTGGAGCACTGACCAGACCTGTGTAATGGAGTGCTTGTTGTCCCCATGTAATGCTGACCCAGTTAAAGTACTCGTTCTGGTTTGTTTGTTTTTTCCAATACACTTTTGAACCTTTTCAGGCAGCTTTACATGGTTTTATGGGCTTGAGCATCTGTCTGTTTCAGGCTTAGACCATGTTTAAAATGGGCTGTGTTACATGTGCCCGTACCCCCTGTTGAGACCGTGGTTGATGCAATTCAGTCTGTGGATGCTCTCTTGTTCTGCCACTTCATGTTCAAGTTATTCTTTAAAAGGTGGTGGTGGTGTCAGTTTGTTTGTGTTGGATTTTTTCTTTGCCTTTTTTTTCCCCTCATTTTCATGTAATGGTGGCCGCTCTGAGATCAGTCATAGAGTTCCCAGGGAAGTTAATTTTCTGCCATGAGCTTTTGTGTGTTTCTGAAACTGGCTGCTGGTTAAGACTTGGAGTGTCTGTCCTCTCCTCAGAGTTTATTCAATTGGCAAAGAACTTTGAAGACTTCCGAAAAAAGTGGCAGAAGGCAGAGCATGACCTGGCCAGGTACAGGGACCTTCTTATGAAAACAGAAACAGAGTGCAGCGCGCTGGATGTCAAGTTGAAACATGCTCGCAATCAGGTGGATGTGGAGATCAAACGAAGACAGCGAGCTGAAGCAGACTGTGAAAAGCTGGCAAGTATCATGTTACCTGTCCCGATTCTTTTAAATCGGGGTGTCGAAGTCATTTGGCCCCATGGGATAGATCTATGCTGCAGGGCTTCTCAGGAGCTGGATGATTCACCTCTGACGGCTATTTGGAACTACTGCATGGACATAGCCCCTGAGTGTACAGTATGCTACTGGGACTTTTCCCCTTCTCCCCCAAACTTTTTCTTCTGGTGCTGATTTTAATCACTAATGGCAACCAGAAGCCTCAGACTTGGGGTTTGGGATTGAGTGGCAGTGATGTTCACCTCCAAAGTCCTGGAGCTGTGCCCAACTAAGCAGTTCTGGCTGTCATGCTGAGAAGCCCTGCAGGCTGCCATTTAACTCATGGGCTGCCAGTTGGACAAGCCTGACCTAATGAATGTCTTCAACCTATATAGAAGTCCATTCAAGTAAGTATCTAATAAATGACTTGTATACCTAATGTATATTCATTCCCCAGTGACGTGTGGTGGGGTGTTGAGCAAATGGAGAGAAATATGTGAATTGGTAGAGGACGCCACAAAAGCGTGACTTTGCAATATTGGAGCCTCCTGAGGCAAACCTCAACAAATGGTTTGCTGTGAGGCCTTTTGTCGCAGTTCCTCTTCATCTCTGAAGTTTAGCAACAGTCGTGTTTTCTAACTGCAGGTGTGGGGTTGAATTTTGTAGAGGACTTCTTGATTTATGGGAGACGTGAACTAGTACATATGGCATCAATAAATGAATCGTTTGTTCCAAGAAATCTATTCTGGAGTATCACATAGTCTTTCACTCTAGGTGCTGGCTGGATCCAAGTGAACTTTGTAGCTGCAATTAAATTGGATTTGTTACCTCTTGAAGGTTGAAGGCAGTGTAGGGTGGGACGTGAATTGTACTTTATCAGCATTAATATGCTGTACGTGTAGCAAGCTTCTCGGAGTCGATCTGTGTAATGATGTATTCAACGTCTTATCTCACTTGCCATAAATCTGAAGCGAAGCTCCATCCCCAGGCTACTTCTGATAATTTCTGCCTTACAGGAGCGTCAGATCCAACTGATTCGAGAACTGCTCATGTGTGATGCATCAGGCAGCATTCAACTAAGCGAAGAACAGAAGTCTGCCCTTGCTTTCCTTAACAGACCTCAAGCCCCCAGTAGGGGTTCTGGGACTAGAAGGTAGGCAAGGCAGCAGCTTGACTAAGCAAGACAACCGAGTAATGTAAAAGCTGTAAGGACTTCTACATGAGGTTTAGAGCAGGTTAGGTGTATGGGAAAGAAAAAAAAGAATTCTATTACTTGCTTTTTTACTTCCCCTGATACTGTATCCCAGAATTTCAGATGACCTCTTCCTCAAACTAATCTAATGTTTTTTTTTTAAGTTTGAAAATTGAATCCTAATGTTTTACAAGTGGTAGGATTATAGGTGGATTGGAAGCAGTGGAGAGAGCATCCATGGGAAGAGTGCTTTCAAAGCATGCAACAAAGCTGTTTTGTGAGCACTCTTCCTATGCATGTTCTTTCCACTGCTTCCAATCCACCTATAATCCTACCACTTGTAAAAGATTTTTCTTGTGATGTAGCAGTATTAAACTACATGTTTGTAACCAAGCCCACACATCAATGCTGTACCTAAAGGTGGTAAAACAGCAGTTCAGAAATGCTGCTTGGCACCAAATCCACTCCAAAGATCTTTGGTATTGCACTCGGATCTAGGATTCTACGTGGAAGACTAATGAAACTTCTGCTGTGTTCTGGATAACCTGTCAAATAAGCAAATGATAAATCTGGAAAGACTTGTGTTTTTGAAGTGCTTCCAACTATTTGAGAGGTGATCTGATATGTTCAAAATAGTAAATGATATGCAAATTATATATTCCCCTTTAATTGTTGTGGCCATAAACAGGTTATGCATAGTTATGCTAGTATTTTCTGGGATGGCTGTAAATCTTCATGGGTCATAAACCAACCTTAAACTGAGGGTGCTTACAAAGAGTGTTCCTCTGTGGGACAGGATATTCCAGAACTGTTCGCTGAGCCTTCTTGCAGCTTCTGCAGAAGTATCAGAGTAACTGTATTGGTGAATAGTAAATTAGATGAACATCTCATTTCATTGATCTATAACTTCTTGTCCTGTCTTGTTTGGTATTTAAATAGTCTTAGCTGGGTGTTTTAAATCTAACACTACAATACAAAAAGTTGAGTGGGAAGTGTAGGTGAAGAGCTGCTTTTCTTGTTTGTGCTCTATAATTTGTATTTTGGGCAGAGGTTGATAGTAGCTGGAAGAAGTAGAAATTGTTTAGAGAAAGGGGGAGGGAGGAGGAGAGTATGAGCTCTCGAATTCTGAGGAAATGCCACAAAATATTACCAGGCTTAATTTCAGTTGTTTTATGTCCTGGCTTTGGGCTCCAGGTCAGTAAGCTTGCCCTGGACTCACAAAGTGAAATGTAGGTAAAACCTCAAAACTAATGGATTTATCTATTGTATTTTATTTTTTTTAGACTTTCAACAATTGATGAATCTGGCTCAAATCTATCCGACATCAGCTTTGACAAGACTGATGAATCATTGGTAATGTCACTTTGACGATTATTTACTTTCCCTCTGCCTAGAGCCACTTCAGCAGTGCAGTGTCTTCAAATGTTGCCCATAAAAGCACTGTGCTATATGCATATATCCAGTAAACTGTTAGAAATTACTATGGTATCCTGTGTGTAAGCATACTGTGCATGATGGCAGGCCAAGGACACAAATTGTCCCAGGCATTGAAAGAAAAGCAGTCATGGTGGTAGACTGTGGCTATACTGTTACAGCATGACTGCCTGCAAAGGACAGGTTGACATTACCCAGTCCAGATACAACATTTGTACCTGTCTGGTTCATTGGCAGTGTAAATCTGAGCATAGAGGAAACTTGTCTTTTTGAGGTGAGCTAGTTCTGTAAATGTTGTGCAGTTAATGCAATGGTTCTGCATATGGAAACATGAATTTCTTTAAGATCACTCCAGAAACTGTCACTGGTAGCCAGGGTACCTATTTGAAAATCAGTCACCTGCATGAGGGGGAGCCTGTACTCTGATGCTTCAGACAGTGGAGTACTTGCCCTGCCACACATCCTAAAAACTTGCTAAGCAAAACTTAAATAGTGTATTTGAATGGTGATTCTACTGATATGTAAATACTCTTAAGTTTGCATCAATGTGCAGTTTTATGGTGTGGCAAGATTGTGGTATAGAATGAGATCGACGCTACCTTTATTTGATACAATATGAATTGTTTCGTGCATAGTCATTCTGGATGGAACTTTTATGAAAGGGAGCAGTCGATGAAAAGATTGAAGGATTTTGGAGCCTGGACTTGTCAGTAATTGCCCCTTATCTATGCTATCAACATCTAAACAAATGTAGGCATGGAGTAGTATATGATACTTAATTTCCTGGTTCTAGCCTTCAGCAGGTTAGGAGTGGAGCCAGAAGATGCACTGAATTTATAACAGATGGTATTAAACAGACCAGAATGTGTCTAGACTACTGTTCACTAAAATATATTTAATGAAAGACATTACCAGTATGCTAACTTGATGCTTTGCCATTCCTATAGGATTGGGATTCTACACTGGTGAAGACCATTAGGCTGAAAAAGAGAGAGAAACGGGTAAGTTCTGTCTCCTTTTTTTTCCTTTTGGTAGTTCATGGGCAGTCTGGAGTTACATATGGGTGGTGTATCCCCCTGTAGTGGTTCTGCTATCATAATGGATTCTGAGCTGGTAGTCGCATCCAACTTCAGGCTAATCAGATCTCTTAAAAGTCTACCTGTAGGCAAGAGAAGAAAGATTCCTGCTTAGTTAATCTATACAGCTGAAGAACCTATATGGTACAATTCCTAGTTCCTTGCATTTGAGCTTTGTTATAATCGTGGGAAAATCTGGTAAAACCCAGATTTTTTTTTTCCCCTTTAAAGGCTAAAAACATGGGAAATGGTGGGTTTCCCCATGCAGGCTGACAGTTTCAGCCTGCAAGGGGCTGGAGGGAGCGGGAGGAGGGCGGTCAGGTAGGGGGGTGCCATGTGCTGGTGAGTGTGTACACATACACATGGGCTCCAAGCAGCCTGGAGAGCAGCTCCTCCAGATAAATTGGGATGGGGCGGTGAAATTGAGGCCCTTATAATGCAGGGAAAAGGGAGTTGGGCTGGGGCTGCTGTTGAGCTGGGGTGGTGCATTGGCCTTGGGGCCTGGGGCTGGAATGCACGGCCTCAGGACCCATATGAGGGCCGTGGCACCCATGTATATATGCACACATGCACATGGTGCCCCTGCCTAACTGCCCTCTTGCTCCCCATGGCCACTTGCAGGCTGGAACTTTGCCAGCCTGTAAGGGGAACCCCACCATTTCTCTTAAGGGGAAAATCTGGGTTTTACCACATTTTTTCCATGGTGAACAGAAAACTCAGGCCACTGATCATAACAAAACTCAAATGCAAGAAACTAGGAATTTTTAACATATAGGTAATTCATCTCTATAGGAGCTCTGCTAGCCTACAGCAAGCAGTCCTCGCCTGATATGTTCTCACCTGCCTGTTCACCAGGTCCACTCTGGCTGTGCTGCCCATGGGGGAGGGGGCTGCAGACCTGGGTACCTGGCCCCATAGCCCTGGCAGCTGGGGGCCCCCTCTGGCAGCTTTGGGGCCATGGGGGGCTGTGGGTAGTGAGGGGCACTGGCAGGGCCCAGGGAGTTGTGGGTGGGGCGGGAGGGGAATGGCATGGGCAGGGCACCCACATATCAAGGCTGCTCAGTGCCACAAAGCAGGGGGCTGGGGGCAATGACAGCTGC